TTAAAGATAGTAAAATGAAGCCCCCAACATTTAAGAAATGTCAAAATAAGGTCATCTGTGCTAAATTTTTCTTCTTATATTTTTGTACCTTATGATACAGTCTGTAATGACTTTAAATCACTATTTTCCATGGGATATTTGCCTTGTTCAGTGTGAAGGAAGGTCCTGTCCTGCTGTGAAAGGTACAGTTTAATAAATAGGACTCTGTCCTACTCATTGCAAAAATTGCAGATGCATAGAAAATGAGAGTAAACCAAAGTATTGGAAAGCTCCTTACTGTGTGAGAAATGTCCTTTCTGTACATGGAACTGTTTTCCTTATGGGTTCTAGGCTCCTAATTCTGAACAAGAGCACTCTCAGTTAATCAGGATGTTTGGTCTTCATCTTATTCTTTTCTGATAATTAGACCACTGTGTGAGCAAATAACACTCAGGCCACAGTTCAGTCCGCAGCTGTAGATAAAAGGCTCAAAAAATGTCAGACATCTGACATCTGTAATTCTTTCAGAGGAGGATGTGGTAGCAGAGATGTGGCATATTCCTTTGAGTCCAACATAGTGTTACACTTTATCTGTAGGAAGCCAGTCTTCATTTTACTACCTCTTGTGTTCTGCTGGATTTTTTTACAGTGCCCACTCTGGTTTTCTGGAGGTTTTTTTAATGGGGTTTGAACATCAGAAAGCAGTATTAGTAAGACAGGGAGTGCCATTCTTGTGAGAGTTCCTGCATGCTGAGTTTCAGGCACTTTAGAATTCTGCATATCAGAATTGCCAACAGTGAGTTTCTTTTCCCAAATTTTGTGTGTTATTTTTACATTTAGACTAACTACACTACCTAGGCAAAACCAGGTATAGCTGTTTTCCAGGGGAGAGAAAAATCAAACAGCCATAACAGGAAATAAAAATAGAACATTTAAATACATGAACACATGGGTGCTTATATTCTGCTATATGTCTGTTCTTCCTGTAGAGCTGCCTCAGCAAGAGCTCAGTGTGATGCCACAGATGATTTATAAGAAACACAATCCCACTAACAGGAAAAAAAAAGGAATGAAAGGTTTAAAGATAGCATATGCATTACTGCAGACAAATAGAAAATTACTTCCAAGCCAAAACCAAGCCATATTTTTTCAGACAAAAATGTCGTTTCCAAATGCACTATAAGTAATTTTATATACAGCAGTTGGCCAAGCAGAGAGGTGAAACCAAGTGCACTAAAGGAAAATCTATCAGTGTTTTCAGTAAGCTCCTTCAACCAGTCTGTTACCAGTGCTTTTGTACTGTTTCTGAAGGGTGTCCAGGAGACAGGGTTCCACAGACCCATTCTACTGAGCTTCTGCTTGTTGGGTTTGGGGTTTCAGTTTCTTCTGCCCAGAGAACCTGTGGATGCCCCCTCCCAGGAAGTGTTCAAGGCCAGGTTGGACGGGGCTTTGAGCAACCTGGTCTAGTGGAAGGTGTCCCTGCCCATGGCAGGGGGGTTGGAACTAGATGATCTTTAAGGTCCCTTCCAACCCAAATCATTCTACAATTCTTTTTTTTTTCTTTTTTTTTACTTTGGACCTTTTAATATTGCAGCTTAATTGAAGCAGTGGTTTTCCAGATGTGCTCCTGAAGTTTCCTGTTGCTTTCGTGACCTCACTGGCCCTTATTTGACTTATAGACTGATGTGGTACTTTTCAGGTGGACCTGAACTCACTCCAGTTGTGCTCCAACCAAGCCAGGTGCAAGCCAGCTCCAAACAAGCTTCTCACCTTGAGAAGGTGAGAAGGTTGCTTGAACCTAACTAGCTCTTCTGCTATATCTTTTAGTGGCAGTCTGTTATCTTTCTTTACTTAGCTATCTAAAGGTCCCCAGACAGGGGGATGGCTAAGAAGTAGCTCTCAAAGCTCATCTATTTCATTATGTGCAGCACTCCCTGTAAACCTGGTGTTTTTAAAGTGGAATTCTAGTTTCAGGTATAAATTTGTTTCTAAATCCCCTTCCTGGCACTCTGTTCATCCATGTTTATACTAGAACAATGTCTCAATGCTTCTTTTCAGCACTACTTGCTCATTTTCTGAGGTTATTGCTAAGAAGCGTTTGCATGATTGCAGACGTCCTCAGTAGTTTCAGAGCTGGTTTATGTGAGTCCTATTATTTTTTAAGGAAGTGCTTTCAGCCAGATAGAGCTGGCTGGGGCTGTTCTATTTTGCAGAAAGTCTCCTTCCTTGCTGCAGTTCCTGATATATAATACAAGTGACAAACTGCATCTAACATGGCTCAGAGAGATTCCCCCCTGCTTAGAACAGGGGCAATACTCAGATACATGTCACAGATAGCAACACTGAATTTCTTGCAGATGCAAGAACCTGTGTCAGCAACAAGGTGGCCATTCTCAGGACCAGAACATTGCCAATGTACTTATGCTCAGCTCATGACAGACATCCACAGGCATAAGTCCTACGGGAACTGGTGGTAGTTAGTTACATAGATACTGCTGAAGACCTGGGCATGAGTTCTCTCTGCCACTAATTCCTGCTCATACAATCAACCCTTTTTACCTCATAAGAGTATCAGGATGACATCAATGGTTAAGAATGTGTTGCACCATGATACGAAGGGTTTTATATGTAGAGACTATATAATAGCTAGGGCTGCAGATAAGTAGGTGGGTGGGCACCAGCAGTGCAGAAAGAAGGACAGGCTCTGCTGTGCCTGAAGTGGGATGTATGTGAGCTTTTGTTGGTGAGAGTATGTTCTTAGGGAACATGAGATGAGGCCTGCCTTTCTGCAAGCGCCGCTTGACAGCAGAAGAGCTGAAAAGAGCAATCCAGACTGCTGCCCAGTACTTAGGAGGGGTAAACTTTGGATCATGGCTATGTCCAGTGATGATCTGATGTAAAATGTACGCACATTCCAAGAAGTAAGGTTTCTTGGAAACCTTTCTGTAAGCTGAAGCTTACAGTTTCTCGTAATACGCAGGTGGTATCCTCCATCAAGTGGAGAATCTGAGCGTAATACCTGACACTGAAAACAAAAATAGATTTGGATACAAAATTTGGCGCTTTTTATGTGCATGACAGTTCTTCACTTGAAGCATCGTCACCACACAGCTACACCTGCATGTATATCCCTCAAGTGAATTCAAGTGTAATTCAATAACTCAATAAATAAATCATTCTGGAAGCTGGTGTCTTCTGTTAAATCACTCCACTAAAAAAAACTCTTTCCAGAACTCATCATATTTTAATAGCTCTCTTCACTTTGGCAAGGGTTTTCACAGCCTGAGCCTCTTTCACTAAGTATGAGGCCAAGTTTATGGCATGACGGTAAACTTAGCACCTAATCTCTATGTGCCTGTTCCTAGATGTGTAGATGTAGACACATATTAATTTGGAGAAAGATATAGTAATCCTTGCCTTAAGTAAGAATATTATCCAGGTGATTTAAGCAATGGTCTGGGTGAGGGAAGGGCTGCAAGGGCAACAAGAGAGGACACGCTCTGGCAATTTATCAGAAAGCTCGTAAGATTGCATGAATCTCCTTTCTCAGCTCAGATGAGCACCTTTGGAAGTGCCTCCAGGGCCTCTTCGTTAGTGTGTGTTTTCTCTGGTGTACACACAGAGCAATTTTTGACAGTTTTGAAGGAGAAGAAAGGTTAAGTAGATGGCATCCTATCATTTGGCTCTGCTGGGGAAGTCTGAACTTTTCTTAGCGCTGCTGCCCATGTGGTGTGACTGAAAAGTGGACTTCAGTCTGTCAGGCTTTCCACTAACAGCTTCTGTAAGCGTTAATCCAAAGGTTCCTCCCTCACTCCTCCTCTAAAATGGCACATTTAAGCTCCTCCTGTTTTCATAGATATGTATGTATATACCATAGGTAACATCTGCATATCTGTTTGCAAAGGATAGAATCCTCTGCCAGTGAAAGCACATCTTCCCCTTATCTCGTGTGTGATTAGTTACTTATACAGGCTTTGCATAAAGAAGTTGAGACTATAATTTTTTTTAGTGAGTGCATTTCTCTATTAATCACTTAAAATAGTACAAAACAAGCTTAATCACAGAACTTTAAAAATACTTTGAGTATTTTAGAGTATTACTTAGAGTAAAAAAGAGTTTGCAAGCTTCTATATCTTTGTAGCTCATTAGACAGGAGAGATTTTGCCTTGGTCCCTGAGGCTGCTGCTGAAAAATATGGCTTTTTTTTTAACTACATCCTGTAGGCCAGTATCTTAGAGAGTGCACCTAACACTCCTGTACTGTGCTGCTGTACTGACTCTTCCAGTCTGGCACAAAACACATCAACCAATTTTTACAAAAGAACTTGTTTGGGGGTTTCCACCAGGACTGGTTATCAAAACGTCAGGCTGTGCTTGTCAGCTGTTGCAGGGAGGGTGAGGAAGAGATAGGGCAGTCACTGCAGCCTTCCTCCCCAACAGACAGCAGAGCTGATCAGCTTTGCAAGAGAACATGTACCCCAGTGGAGAGTATGGCTTCAGAAAAATAATTTCCTGGGGCTTCTGTTATAGCAGCACCAGCTATCACTTACCTGAATACAGAGCTGTGGACCTTTGATTCCCCCAACATTTATGGCTTTTACAAAGTCTCTGACATTACCTGTTTTTTGAGGCTGCTGTTGGCAAAGTGCTGCCAAGTCACTGAGGATTTGTCTTCGCTGTCTGGTGAAGTTCAGGTACTTCGATCATTGATCGAAATTTTGTAGCAAGAAAGCAGACCACCATGCCAAAGAAAGTTCACGTTCAACATTTTATGACCTTGTGAATCTTGTGGCTCCATTGCCCACAGCTTAGAAGGCACAGTGCTGTGGAAAACAGCAATTTACACTACGTTTTAAAATTCAGAGTTAGTATCTAACTGGGGTTGGGAATGTGAGTTTGGTGGTGGAGTGGAAAACACATACATTGAGTTATTTAAATAAATGATGGCAACTGGTGTAAAGGAGTGAAGTTCCATTTTCTGTTCCCATGATTACTTAGCACTTAACAAGTTGTTTTCCATAGTTCCTAAGGTGAAAGAAGCAGCTGCCTTTGGCCCTCTCCTGGCACAGAGGAAAGTTCCAGTGTCGAGACCAGAGCAAGAAGGTAGATTATTTTTATTCTACAGTATTTATTTTCCTGTGTATTTTGTGTTTTCTTGACAACCTATATTAGCCAAGCCACAACCAGTTTAAAAGCCTTTAACATAAAACAAAGGTTTGGTGAGCGTGTTAGAGACACTATCTGGCCAAACCATTCTGCCAGTTCCAATGTGAGAAGCTGTTTTTGTGTCCCTTTCAAAACATACATATTATAAGCCATGTATAGAAAGTTCCCCACACTGAAACTTGACTTGCAGTTGAATTCATCTGATGAAATAGTCATGAAAAAATAAAGTCACTTCTATCGTCTATAAAATGAAACCATGTTAGAAGAGTGTTGCATAGCCTGCAACAATATGCCAAAGTCCTTCAGCCATATTCTCTTGGTTTTTCTCCTGGTCCTCTGTCAGAAGTCAATAGGAGTTTCCCCTGAACAAGACTGAATAAGTATTTACCCTGAATCTTAAATAGCCTAGCTATGTATCTATGATGGTTCCCAATTCATCAGTAAGTCCTATGTATATCAGAGTAAGATGATACTAGCTGTTCTTTCTCACATTGAAAAATTGTTGTGAAGCCAGTCAAGGGAGCATAAAAGATCCAAGACCTGTCAATTTATGTACACGAGCTTCTGCCATGCCCTAGGAAACTGCTTCACACACTTTTAAACAGAAAACTTCACTGCCTGTTGGGAACTGTAGCAGGCTGCAGGGCAGCTCTGGTCAAAGCAGAGCATAAAGGCAGACCAAAGGGCACTCTCCCCCACTTCCCTGGTGGGAAACAGTTTCCCTGGGGTGGACAGAATCATGAAGCTGACTATAACGACCTGCTTATGAGAGCCATGGAAAAAAGCAGAATGCAAAAGAGGGGACTGAGAGATTGCATTGAGCTGATGTATTTACAGGACAGCAGCATGCTCCTGGGGACTTACCAGCCAAGCGGGCAGGGGCTGAAATGCTGGGATTGGCTGTAGCTGAGATTTTTTTTAGGACAAGGTGGGTTTCACCCAAAAACAATCCACAAATGCTTCCAAATCGTAAACAAAACAAAAACAAAATAGATAGATGTGCTGGCTGACATTAAGGGTGAGATACGGGTTTTTCCAATTCAGAAAGCAGTAATCTCAGAAACAATGGACTTTTACAGTAAATCTCTGTAAATGCCATGTTCTGCACTTCTCTGTCTCGTGATAAAATACATGAAAATAACAAGAAGGATGCTTCTTTCTGAGGAAATTCAGATGGCTGACGTATCATTCGTAATCTGATCTGTCATGCTTGCATTGCACAGTGTTTCTATCTTTGCGTGTGAAATGCTTTTCATCTGCACTGTCAGCCGAAGGCTGTGGTCTGCTCTGGGTGACACCCTTTTTCAGTGTGCTCTAAAGGTCAACTGATCTGGGCTACTCCCAGCTCCATGTAGTACGAGTATGAAGTGCTGATGTAAAGGATTTCTCTCATGGGAGACCAGCTTCCCTCTTTCAATGGACAGAACTGGAGCTTGAGCATCTCAGCCGATTGCAACTACAGCAGTGTAACAAATGGAGAGAGGAAAGCTCTAACGTTGGCAGATCCCAAACCATTTAGGATGCTAGAGTTCAAAACTAACACCTCCAGCTATACCTGGTGATCAGCAGACACGCAGTGTACAGAAGCCACAGCACATAACCCATGTGCAGATGTGAGATAGATTGGCAGTAAAAAGACACAACAGATTTTCCTGTGAGTTAAAGAAAGAATTAGTACATAAATTCTGATGTTTTGCTTTTTTGCGATTTCATCTAGGTCAACACTTATCGGAACTCAGATTGTAGATAATTTTAGAGTGACCTATACTTTAATAACTGGGTGAATAAAGAGCAAATTATTTTTATCAGTACTTATGACATAGTGGCCCTCTTATCTCTGAGTCTCTATTGCCAATTTTTTTTTCAGTTGATTGCAGCTTCAGTCGAGGGGTCTGTGACTGGAAACAAGATGCTGATGATGACTTTGACTGGAATCCTGCTGATCGAGATAGAGGTATTTAATATTTGTCCTCTAGCTATGCTTTGATTTGATGGCTCACCCCCTCCAGAACAAGGAGGACAGAGCGGAGAACAGGATCAAGAATTAGCTTTCCCATCAGCGGGTTATCTTTATAAAAGAGAAAAGGAGGCAGAGAACGCTGGGAGTGGAAATTGTTTCTTTGAAATATCCAGTGGAAACTGGTAATCGGCAACATATTTCAACACAACCGAGTCAAAAGAGAGAAATTATTAGAATATAACTGTTCAGAATTACAAGGTACAAGGCAACGGAAAATTTATTGGTTACACATTGTGTCTCTCCAACACTGGTAGGGCATTTAATCACACGTCTGCCGTTTAGATGGATGTGGCAACATAGTCACTTACAGGGCTTAGACAGCGCTGTGACAGCTGCTCAGAAATCTCAAACTCTGCAAGACCAACTAGTGTCGGCGTTCCTCAGGACGAGCCAAGGGCAGGGGGCTATTCAAGAACAACCGATACCTGACCTGGTACCAAGGGCAGGCCTGCTCAAACCTGAGAGGGAGCTCCACGAGCACAATGTGCAATTGCTTTGCGGGTGTGTGCAGAAAGTTGTGCTGAAGAAACTTGCTTGAAAGGCTGTCTCTTCCCCTGTGACGCAGGAAATGTTGCAGAAGTTGCTGCGGTAGGGACAGGTGGATCCTGCAGGCCACTTGCTCCTGTTCCTACACACACATTCTCCCCCTCTTCCCTCACAGTCTTTCCATCCCAGTCTTTCTTCACTAATCCTTCCTCTCCTGCCTCATAAATTTCCCTCTCCCCAAGTCCATTCTATGTGCTGTCACTTCCAGGAAGACCTTACCCTGACCTTACCCCATCTCCCTGAACTTACATCTGCTGATTACAACTTTATTTATGAGCCCAGATGTTTTATCCCTTTATCACTTTGTGTGTGTCTGTCATTTCATTGCCACCCCAAGATCTGGAGAATAAGCAATCAGTTCCTTTATGAGTTTGTCATCACTGCAGAGGGCAGTGGAGAGTACTGAGCTAGCTCAAGTGCAGGAAATGGTCTGACCACAGAGGCACAGCAGCTTGTTTCAGGCTGTTGCATTTGAAAAACTGAGATGGTTTTGCCTTTGAAAGATAGTGCAAGGAAGAATGACTGTAATTGCCAGTGAAATACGAACTCATCTCCTCTGTAAACTCGTCTGACTTCCAACAGTGCAAGCTTATTCTTTGGAAAGTACGCTCCCTGCTGCTTTTCTCCAGTCTGATTTTAAATTATTCAAGTAACACAGCTTCCATCTATTTTCTTAGCACATATGTATTCAATTCGCTAATAAATAACACAAGTCCATTAAAGATGCGTTCTCCTTTTTTTTTTTTTTTTTTGGTACAAGGTGATGGGTACTACATGGCAGTTCCAGCTTTTGTGGGGCACAAGAAGGATATGGGGCGTCTAAAACTTCTCCTCACTGACCTCAAACCAAAGAGCAGCTACTGCCTGATTTTCAGTTATCGGCTTGCTGGCGAGAGAGTGGGCAAACTTCGAGTGTTCCTGGCAAACAAAAAACCTGCTCCTGTCTGGGAGCAGGACAAAGGAAAAGATGAAAGGTGGAGAACTGGAAAAATAGAGATATTTCAGGGGGCTGAAACAACCAACAGTGTAAGTATAACACAATTTATAAACCAGCTACCACAATCAACACAACAGCTTAATTTCCTAATCCTCAAGTGTTCCACCAACTGTTTTATAGGCATCGCTTGCTGGCAATTGAAATGCTTATCTGAAATGGGAAATAGCAGCACACATTTTAGGAGGTGGAAAAGTTATTATCTGGTTGTAATTTCAGAACTGAATTACCCCAATTGGTTAGGACACTGATGCCAGTAATCCTGTCATTTTGTGTAAAAACTGCATCAGATCATAAATGAACACAAGCAATCAAAATCTCTCCGTAATATCTCATGCAACAGAAGCATACATACATGCCTGGAAAAATGAAAATTTTCAATTTCAGAGAAGGAGATGCTCTCAAACCACACTAAATCAGACCATTAGAGCAAAAGGAGATACCATTTATAATCAAGGGTGGGCAATCACCTTTGGAGCAGGTCATGCTAGCCAAGAGGGAACACTGTGCACTGATGTATGCCTGAAAACTGCCTCAATTAGGACTTGAGCAAGTTTTTCCTTGAAATTCTAAGGCCTGGTTTTCATTTATGTGACTGAACATTTTCAGTGCTGTCTAAAGGCTTCTGCTGTGTAATTGAATGCTATGAGTATAAATGAGATGCAAGCCCTTTTCAAAGTTCTTTGCACTGCTGGAATGATGTAGACAAGCCCTTACATATACGAGAAGCAGACTTATCAAATAAAAACCCAGGCATCCTATTCATAAAAATGAACCTACTCTATATATATAGTATACCTACTATACTATATATACACATGCTATATACATAAATATAGATGTATAGTATATAAACCCAAAACCTAAGGTTTCAAATAGATTGCAAATGAACAGTTGTAATGTCTTCAAGAAATGAAGTGCATTAACATCACATACTGTGATAAAACTACATTATTGTAATAGGATTTCACTCAATTTGCATTTTCTTCGTACAATGAAAATAAGTAATCTTATTAAAGGAATCCATTTGGTATTGTAAATCTGTGAAGAGGATTATAAGTCTAGTTCAAATAATACAGGGAAACTCTAAAAACTGCAAGGATTTGAGTCATTAAGTCCTGTATTGTGATAAAACATTCCTCAGATATAGCTTTATAACTAGTTAACATTTAGAGTTGCTACATGGTTGGATAAACTACATTTTCACTGTTAATACATCTCTTTTCTTACGACAGGTCACTTTTGAATCAGAACGTGGGAAGGGCAAAACTGGAGAAATTGGAGTAGACAATGTTACATTAATTTCTGGTCTATGCCCAGAGGATACTTGACAATGGATATTTGAGAGTTCTGGATTTAATCCTGTTTTTAATATTTGCCTTACTAGTATTGTATTTTTATATAATTTTCTTTATAAAAAACCAAAACCATAAAAACTGTGACTTGAACTTAATGCAGCAATGCAAACAGAAAAAATGACACATGCAAGACGCACAGTACACTTTTTAATGAGTTATTCTAGTTCTAATACATGCTTTGATTGCAGCAATACTGTATTTTATAATTCAAGATCAGCGTTTCTAAAGCCTTATTTGTCTAGCTTTTTTACAAATTCTACGTGCTTTTATTCCTTAAAGTTGTTTTCAAGGCTATTTGTAAGTTTTCTATTTCGTTTTTTTTACTCCACAAAAACATAAAGCAGTATTTAAGAGGATGTTACTACTTCTGGTGATGTAATTTTAACTTCTTAGTGTGTAGATATTCAATCTATTCAACAAGAACAAAGAGAGGAGCTTTATTTCCTTGTTGATGGAGCTATGCAGGTTGTAAGTGGAGTCATGTCTTTGAGGAATATTTTCATTACTAATAAAGTATGTAAAATATCTTGTCATCAGTGTCTTTGAGTCACATAAATCACTGTTTAGAAATGATCCCTTTATAGTTCTATAAGCATTTAATGTTCATCATTAACAGATGATGTTACTGACTGGCACTGAAAAAAAGAACAAACAGAATGACCCATTATTAGCACTTAAGAAACTTCACATTGTGTACTGACCTTCAGGAACAAATTGGTTCCTGCTGGATTGCAGGCCTACTTTACCCCATAAAGGCGTGAAAGAACAGTTTTCATTTTCCAGCACAGAGTGGTCACACAATAAGGCTCCTTCTTACACAACTGAAAAAAAAGTCTTTGTTGCAAGTCCCTTCATGGCCCTTCAAATTTCCGCAAAAGGGACGCAGACTATCCGCCATCCCCAGGAGCAGGGAGGTACATAGAACCTTCTCCCACAAACTAGGAGCTGCCACACAGCCACCCCCCACCACGCTCACCTGTGCACACACACAGGTACACATACATGTACATGTTTGAGGAGGGTCCAGAATACGGGTTCCACCTGTTCCGAAAAGAAGTCAGATGACAATGCCATGGAGGACAGAACCATCTTCTTCTGTCTTGTGATATCTTCTGAAAGTACCTGATGGTCTGAATCCCGAGAGGACAGAGATGCCCATGGAGAAGCCCCAGTTCAGGCAACGCTCAGTTAAACATGCATGCATACATCTTCCTCTTAGTTAGCTCTGTCTATCCCCTTCTAGGCTGACTGCTCACTGGTTATTATTAGTGACAGTCTCTATTTTATTTCTTGTATGAAGAAGGGGACATCCAAAACAATTGAATAGAATTTTATAGACCAACACTAAAAAATCTTGAAGAATTCAGCCTATACGAACCTAAGCTTTTTAACAAAAAACAACTACAAAAGTTCAGACACCTTGAACTGCACCTATGAAGCAAGTCATGGATGCTTGAGACATTTCTTGTTGAAACGCAAACATAGTATTTTTGCACTTTGCACACAGGTGGGGAAAGGGTAAGCAAGACTGGAAATGTCTGCAAAGTTCACCATAGCTATGTAATCAGGAAATGTTTGTTCTTTGTTACAACCAGTTTGTGTTACAAAACAGGTGCTCCAAGAACTGTACATGAACTTCAGCTGTGACATACGAATTTCTTTCCTGGTATTTCTGGAGGTGCTGAGGAAATTACAGAACAGGGACTTGAGAAAACCAAACTTTCTTTAGTCTCAGGGCAAAGACTCTGGGAGTTTCAAAGAGAGGGGAAAGTTCCCACAGTAGTGGACTGGATGCTGACTGCGATCTGAGGATGCCTGAAGAACCTGGTCACAACGGGGCAGAAAAGTGAAACAAGTGTTTTTCTGGACTCCTCCTCTTCTGACTCTCTGAAGTTGAACTACCCTTACTGAAGACCAAGAAAATAAAAGATCACTTTTACTGAAATAAAATTCTGTGTCTAGCTTCAACCAGCAATAATTTACGCATACACAGTGCCCCTAAAGCCTAAGAATTGTTACAGTCTTGAGCATCACAGTGCAAATGAGATACCTGAAATATGTACAAGGAGCAACCAGGGTCTACCTAATAAAGTGCAGCTGGGCATTTCTTGCATGTGCAGTTATTTGGCATGGAAAGATAGATGATGCCTGTGGAAGGCATAATATCTAAAGATCATTTGCTCCATACACAAACAATAGAGAGTAAGCACAATGAACATGGTCTCATATCGAGTCAGATATACTGCTATTTATTTGTTGCTGGCTGGATCATAGTCCACCTTGAAGCATTGTCACGGCGGGATTAAGGACTCGTCATACGACCAATATGATCAGACAAAGCCAGTTTATTGCGCTACAAACCCGTGTTTATATAGTTCCTTGCCACGCGATAGCTCTAACGTGATTGGATGCATGCACTGTCCACGCGCTGGTCACACGCACTTCTCAGTCTCTGATTCGTGTGACGCCATCAGCCACGCACATCAAACTCCTCCTCAAGATCTTGTTTGTCTTGCTAACTGCGGTTAATGCAGCCCCTTTAGTTCCTCATTGTGACCTTGATGCCTGCTCCTTTACAGGCTATCAAGAGTCAGGCTCAGAGTATCTGGAGGGCTCAGCACATGGCCGTGGTTCTCCAAATATCCCACAGATCCCCCTTTTTGTTTTTGAGCCATCCAGATACCCTGCATCATCTTTGCCGTTAACTTCTTTATACATTGTAGAGCACAACTAAATATTAACAGCACAACAACAACCATAATGAACATTGTTATCACTTGGCGCACCAGGTCTGCAAGCCATCCTGAGATCCCAAGATGCTTCAGCCAATCCGTAAGGCCAGACTCTACCTGTATAGCGTTCAGATTTTTTCGCAAGTCTGCCAATTGGTTATGGATGGACTGTGAGTGATCACTCAGATTCACGCAACACATTCCCTCAAAATCTTCACAACCGTGACCATGCACTAATAGCAAAAAATCTATTGCTGCTCTAAATTCTGTACTAACACTAGCCATTCAGCAAAAGCCTGTTCTATTAGCTCCACAGGTTCCCGCGGGGCTAAGGGTTGTCGCATAAATTGCTCTACCCACTAAAAAGTTTAAGTCAATTTTGTTATCCTTACATAGCATCATCGACCATGGGTGGAGTTGCTTCTGGGCTCTCGCTTTGAACTTTTGTGGGCTTACCTCGTTTCTGGGTCCTTTCCTCTATCCAAGGCCTTACCCACCTTGCTGGCACCCAAATTGGACCGTTCTCTGCAAGGACACAAACATAACCTCTGCCAGTTAATTTTACCTCTACAGGCCCCTTCCATTCTCCTGTTATTAAATCCCGATATCTGACCTTCACTGGACTAGACTGCTGTGGATTAGTGTCTGATGATAATTGGTGTACTATGATCGGTGGAGAGATCCGACCCTCCGTGACGCGCAAGTAATTCAATACATAAAGCGCTTTTGCAACGCATTCTGCTGGACTGCCTATTTCTCCCCCTTTTTGTTTTTGCAACAGTGCTTTCAACGTGCCGTGTGCACGTTCCACTATTGTCTGTCCTGTAGGGGAATGAGGGATCCCCATTGTTTATAGCTGGCACTATAAATGCAAACTTTTCGGCATCATCTGGATGTAAAGGAATGGTAAAGAAACAGTCTTTGAGATCAACAATTAACAAATCCGAATGTTCTGGGATCATGACCGGAGATGGAAGCCCTGGTTGTACGGCCCCCCTGTCCTGCATTACTGCATTAATCACTCTTAGGTCATGTAGGAACCTCCATTTCCCTGATTTTTTCTGTATTGTGAATATTGGCGAATTCCACGGACTAGTGGATGGAACAACATGTCCCGCTTTCAATTGCTCTGCTACTAGTTCTTTTACAATTTGCAGCCTATCCATTTTTAGCGGCCATTGATGCACCCATACTGGCGTGGAAGTGGTCCAGGTCAATTTTAGGACTGGCTGCTGCTCAGTGACCGCTCCTAAAAATCCTGATTGTTGATTCTCACCCCCATTTGTGACAATACATCCCTATCAAGCAATGCAATAGGCAATGCCATCACGTAAGGTCGTGTGGTAATGCTCGACCCATCTCTAAATTCTAAGTTCACTGGTGCCTTGCTAATAAATGTTTGTTGTGATCCTCCAGCACTTACCATGGCCATGTTAGCTGGGATTGTTGGCCACGCTTTAGGCCACCAGTTCTTCAGAACAATACTGACATCTGCTCCTGAATCTACCAGCATCTTTAATTGAATAGTGCCCCCTGCCGGATGAGATATTCGCACGCACTCCTCTGGTTTCCCCTTTTTTACGTCCAATGCCAATAGCACATTTGCTTGACAGGTTGATCCAAAACCTCCTGTTCCTCGTTCTATTGCCTGTGTTCTCAGAACAGCTGCTCTGAAGGGTATCAATTGGGAGATCGCTGATCCTTTGGGATGTGAACAGGTGGAGACAACGTATAGACCATGATTTTTATAATCCCTTGATAATCTGCATCTATCGCTCCTGGGACTACAAAAATCCCTCGTCTAGATGTTGACGACCTGCCTAGGAGCAAAGCATTTAAACCGTGTCCCAAAGGCCCATTCATTTCCGAGTTCACTACCGTAACTTCCGGGGTTGTTAGCGTGACTCCTGCTGCTGTTGCCACATCCGCTCCTGCACTGCCGGTGGTGGCGGCGGCGCAGCTGTCCAGGCACCCTGGACTTGTGTCGTCGCTCCCCGCACTCAACAATCTGTTTCCCGACTTTCTGCATTCAGTTGTGTTATGGTTATCCCGCTTGCAGTTACTACACCATTTGTTTCTCCTTTTTCCCTGA